TATCTTATTCTCTTCTTGAATCAGTGAGAAGAGAAATGGACTCTATTACTGATCTTTCTCAGAAGGGTGAGAATTATACATAGAAATGTTTCCTCCCAACCCCTTTGGAAACAGTGACTTAAATGTATGTACATGAACTTGCAAATAGGACACTGATTTGCAACTTTACACTCATCGCTGCCTTTCAAATGACTCCACTTTTCATACACACTTTAGCAGATGAAGAACTTACCAAGGTGGCACAAGTATTCTAATACTCACTAACCAATTAGAATAATAAGTCCTTAATATTTTATTCTATTTTTATGTCCTTTTAAAAAGTTATCTTTATAAAAACTTTTTATACCTTATGTACTTTTATGTTATATTTTGGTTCAGATATTAACATCAAGATTGTTATTCGGTCATGTTACTTTTCAGTAATATGCTTTCATTTTAGTAATGCCTATATATAAAAAAATTAAGTTTTAAGCAAAGCAAATGTTCAGTTTATTCGAGTCCTAGCTTTACTTGGTATGACGGGAGAACACCACAAAGTGTACCCCCCTAACTTCCCTTAGCACTGTAGTAGCTGGCTGAAAAACTGAAGAGAATAAGCCATCATTCAGAGCTTTGTTAAAAGTCTGTTCACTAAAAGGCCAGTGCTAGTCGATGTATCTGATGCCTCATTATAGTTACATACTAGAGGAAATGTTTTGCTTCTTAAATTAGGCACTCGAAATGCAAATGAGTAGCAAATCACACATTGGTCTCTGACAGGTTCCCTGTGTTTCTTTATTTTGAAATGCTTGATTCATTTGCATGGGAGGATTAATATCAATCTCAGTATGAATAACATTTCTTGAAGCAGAAAAACCTCATACCCAGAATATATTTTTGACTCAAACTCTTTTTAAAATTTTTTTTATTTATTATTAGCATAGTCATTCTTACAAATTGTGATATTTCTTTATGCCCTTTGCCCGACCTATCACTTTCCAGACCCCCTCTCTCCCTCCCCCCATCTCTAGTATCCTTAGGTCTGTTCTCTCCTTCTGAAAGTTCAACATATTGTTGTGATCTTTTCTTTCTTTCCTTCAAATGATATTGACTCGATGTTTTTCTATTAATTAATGTCCTTAACTAGAAATTGAAGCTAGTAAATGATGCCTATCATAAATTTGTGGGGACAATAGACCCAATTTCATCCTTATGTCATTGCCCCTTGTGATGGTTAAAATTTTGCTATGAAATTGAATCTACAAGTTAGTAAGAAAAAGAAAAGTAGGAAGAACAGCATGCAAAAAACATCATGTTGAACAGGAGCAAAAGTAGCCGACAGTGAGAGAAATTCTGAAATCTCTTACGTAGGGCTTATTTCTCCCCTAATAATATTCTGAATTGATGCTTTGGGAAAAGTGTAGTTCCCTAGAAAGAGTATATATTGGCCTTCGGACTCCATTGTTTATAACTTATGTCACACAAAAAGCACTTTCCAAACATTCACAGTCTTACAACTACATTTTATAATGAAATCTTCATGAGTAGATATGACTAGAAATGGCATTTGTCATTTAAAGCTATAGAGAAGGTATCATCCAGATTTAAAATTTTGATTGGGTTTAACTTGCTGTTTAATAGTAGTTACTATCCAAAAGGAAGATTTTGAAAATGATGACAGTTAAATGATACTCATAAATAAAAATAACTCTGACGAAGACTTGAACTTGATTGAATTTTAACTTGAGGTTTATATCAATTGTAAGATATAAGAATTTTCTGCTTCTTCTAATGCTGCCCCATAGAAAAGGTGACAATTAAAAAGTCATCCTAACCTGTTTTAGTTCATCTTACCAGTAAAGACGATGGGCGACCTGGATGCTTTGCAATGCACGATGGAGTAGGAGGTGCACTAAAGGACTTTCAAGGTTCCATTCAAACTTGACAGCCTGAAGTGAGAGACATAATTACTTTACTCTTTTTACTCAGAAGACAGAAGGACTTCAGAGACTTGAGAAAAGACCAGGGAAAACAGCATGCATATTTTAACAAAATGTTAATAATAATATATTTAATAGCTTTATTAGTCGACGTATAACTAATAACAGAACGCACACGCACAATTATACAACTTGGGACCGTGTAGTCTTGTTTCCTTCCCTGTTTATGATTTAGGATCACGGGATAATAAATGAGAGCAGGTGGTTGGTGGAGTTCAACCATGCTCTGGGGGAGAATTCTCGCACAAAAAATAGTACCATGAGCAATGCTCCTGGGTTATTAAAAATAGTATTATGAAGCAATAGCTATTTCTACTCATTTGGAGATAAAATTGATGCACACTCAAAGCCTTAACAGGAATCACCAACTGGTATATCTGTATTAACCTGAGACCTTGAGGCTTTGCTTAAAGTTTCAAAGCTGACTGCTACCACAGGAGCCCATTCTAAATCCTTTCCATCTCCACTGTGGACAACCTGATAGAAAAGACAGATAGCAATGGCAGCCCCTGATGTACTTAGGGACCTAATTCTGACCTCCACCTGCCCTCTGCAGAGACTTCAGTAAACGGGCTGCCACCAGCATCCTGGGAATCTGGATATGTGAAGATGAAAACCAGGTTCTCCTAATAAAAATGCCCATTCCTGCTTGAGAGGAAAAGCTTCTATCTTTAGCTGTTCAATAAACCATTTGTCTCTCTCTCTCTGTCTCTGTCTGTCTGTCTCTCTCACACACCCACAGTTTAAGCCAAGCTTTATACCACACTACAGGAAGCAGAAAAAAATGACTACTATATTTATTCACGTACACACATGAAGAGACACCTCAGCATGCTCTGTCTCTGTCTGTCTGTCTCTCTCACACACCCACAGTTTAAGCCAAGCTTTATACCACACTACAGGCAGCAGAAAAAAATGACTACTATATTTATTCACGTACACACATGAAGAGACACCTCAGCATGCTAACCATCCTCAAGGATGGAGAAGTTTATAAATTCCTGAGGTGTGAGAGTGCTGAAGATGATTTCAGCATATTTGGTGTAAACTGCTGCTCCCATCTGAATGTAGAAAGACCATAATGTGTGCAGCCTTGGGCTGCAGCCGTGACCCTCTTTCACTTCCTTTCCAATGCTAGGATGGCATGGATTTTATTTATGCCCCAATAGTGAGCCTATCATATGGGCATGTGAGCAGAGATACATCTTGGAATTTACTTCCATGCTTGTCTTTTTTGATTTCTGCCCCATTACTTCTTCACAAACCCAATGACTATTTGTTGCTCTTAAATTACCTCCCTTGTTTCCAAACTCCCTGCTTTACTCTGTCTACTGGTAAAATTTCCTCCTAAATCCTGACTTACCACCTAGGGTGAAGGCAATTTTTCTCATGCACACCATGTTATTATTAACTGGTTTGCAGTAACCTCTGGGTCTGTATCTTATGAGAGTGCTTCAAAAAGTTCATGGAAAAATTCGTATTATCTTTTAATTCTACTTTTCCACCAATCTTTTAAAGATTTGACTCATACCCATGAACCATATCTTCTGTTTTTATTATGGTCTTAAAATCCTGTCTTACTGCTTTAATACAGTCTGCATAATTCTAATATGATAATACATAATAAAATAGCATGTCTCCAGATAATAATCAACATGGTTAGGATTTTGTAAGTGTTAGAAAGTTTTAAAGTCAGGGTGGAGCGTGGACATCTAAGGGCAAACACTACAATGAAGGTTTTGAAACTCCTTCCAGTTTTTATTTTCTAGTCACATTATTTGTTTCTTTCCATCTTGGAATAGCTTATAATCTTCATGATTAATTAATACATAGTTGCAGCTTTACCTAGTTTTACCTTCTGTGCTTGTTGTGTTAGATTCTGTGTGTATATTGTCTTAGAAATTTGGATTTGCAATTTGTATATGGCTCTCAGTGATATTCCAGTGTCAAGCATACTCAGATTGAAGATTTCAGGTGAGTTCAATCTATATTAACTTCTGTGAAAACTTTCTCTTTTGAGTGGGTTAGAGTTAGCTATGGTTTTTGCCCATAACCATGAACCATGAGATGAATAGTGATCCCTCACTTAATTAATAGTGATCCTTCATATTAGTTTTTATTTTCACTATACTATCCTGGCAAGTCTAGAGAAGTCGCCTTCTANTTCCTGCTTGAGAGGAAAAGCTTCTATCTTTAGCTGTTCAATAAACCATTTGTCTCTCTCTCACACACCCACAGTTTAAGCCAAGCTTTATACCACACTACAGGAAGCAGAAAAAAATGACTACTATATTTATTCACGTACACACATGAAGAGACACCTCAGCATGCTAACCATCCTCAAGGATGGAGAAGTTTATAAATTCCTGAGGTGTGAGAGTGCTGAAGATGATTTCAGCATATTTGGTGTAAACTGCTGCTCCCATCTGAATGTAGAAAGACCATAATGTGTGCAGCCTTGGGCTGCAGCCGTGACCCTCTTTCACTTCCTTTCCAATGCTAGGATGGCATGGATTTTATTTATGCCCCAATAGTGAGCCTATCATATGGGCATGTGAGCAGAGATACATCTTGGAATTTACTTCCATGCTTGTCTTTTTTGATTTCTGCCCCATTACTTCTTCACAAACCCAATGACTATTTGTTGCTCTTAAATTACCTCCCTTGTTTCCAAACTCCCTGCTTTACTCTGTCTACTGGTAAAATTTCCTCCTAAATCCTGACTTACCACCTAGGGTGAAGGCAATTTTTCTCATGCACACCATGTTATTATTAACTGGTTTGCAGTAACCTCTGGGTCTGTATCTTATGAGAGTGCTTCAAAAAGTTCATGGAAAAATTCGTATTATCTTTTAATTCTACTTTTCCACCAATCTTTTAAAGATTTGACTCATACCCATGAACCATATCTTCTGTTTTTATTATGGTCTTAAAATCCTGTCTTACTGCTTTAATACAGTCTGCATAATTCTAATATGATAATACATAATAAAATAGCATGTCTCCAGATAATAATCAACATGGTTAGGATTTTGTAAGTGTTAGAAAGTTTTAAAGTCAGGGTGGAGCGTGGACATCTAAGGGCAAACACTACAATGAAGGTTTTGAAACTCCTTCCAGTTTTTATTTTCTAGTCACATTATTTGTTTCTTTCCATCTTGGAATAGCTTATAATCTTCATGATTAATTAATACATAGTTGCAGCTTTACCTAGTTTTACCTTCTGTGCTTGTTGTGTTAGATTCTGTGTGTATATTGTCTTAGAAATTTGGATTTGCAATTTGTATATGGCTCTCAGTGATATTCCAGTGTCAAGCATACTCAGATTGAAGATTTCAGGTGAGTTCAATCTATATTAACTTCTGTGAAAACTTTCTCTTTTGAGTGGGTTAGAGTTAGCTATGGTTTTTGCCCATAACCATGAACCATGAGATGAATAGTGATCCCTCACTTAATTAATAGTGATCCTTCATATTAGTTTTTATTTTCACTATACTATCCTGGCAAGTCTAGAGAAGTCGCCTTCTACCTATAAGGATTGATGGAAGGGTTGTATTGTACTTTGTGGTGCAGCCGTTTCTAAACCAGGCCCTCTCTTTAGGAGGACCTCAGAGAAATGTATAGTTTGTGTGTGAAGTAATATTGTATTGGGCTTTTTAAATAGAGGCTTCCCCCATCAGTCTTATAGTCTCCTGTCACCGTTCAAAACCTGAGGCACCTGGCATTTCAAATAGCTTGTAACTACAAACTGACCTTTCAGATAAGAAACCACCTGAATTTTAAAAATCAAAACAAAACATAAGTCCACTATTTTAGACCTATTCAGCGCTCAGCATATAGTCATCTTGGAAAAACTATCTTCTCTGGCTTGGATATTCAATCATTTACCTGGTCATTGGCAAAATGTGTAATTTAATTGTTTATCTTTCATTATATTCAGACTAAATAGGTCATTATTCATATTTCTAGTTAAATTTATACTATGGTCTAAAATTAGCATTGTGATATTTGGTGTTACTAAAATGTACAATTTGGAGGCAAAATTTGGGTATTAGAAATTACTTTTATAAGATTTATAATTAATATTATAATCCTCTAAGTGTTGGAGTGAGCAGGACTGAAGCCATGTTGGGACCTCAACCCATATGGGCTCTGTTAGCATGCTTTTCTCTGAGTTCTCTTTTTTTCGCATGGTTATCTGATATTTTGAACCTTGGTTATGGGGCAAGACAGCATTATTTACATAAACATAAAATTGTTTTCCAGTCAGCCTGGAGCTGCAGATTTGCTACAAGACACATACTATGAAGACTCTGAGAAACCAAGGAAGACCTCAGTAAAACTATGTCCCCTCTCCCCGCTGCTATCAGATTTTGGCAAGTCAGCCAGTAGTTGAGTGCCCTGGGAAGGCTAACCCCACCACTTCTGTGGCAGCAAGGCTGGGACCACCTGTAGGTGCCAGCTGCCTATGCTAGGCCAGCCCCATGGCTGGGATTTTGGGGACTTTCCTTGATTTTCCAGTAGTGGTATTAACCAGTAATTCCTGCCTTTTGGTTGGTGAAGGAAGGCAGCGTTAGTGAGGGCTTTGATGAACTCTGAGCTGTTAAGTCCTTCTGGGTGTCCTCTTTCAACACCATTTGTTGTTAGTGGTATCGTTTGGGTGTGAGAAATGACTCAAGGACATAAAAGCCAGCATTTTGTTTGTTTGGGAAAGCTCTGTTTGGATTTGTGCAGCTAAGTTTGTGCCTTTTGGTCATTAAAGATCTGATGACCAAAAAGAAAGTGTTTTTTTCTTTTCCTTTCAGAGTTTCCTTTGGCGAACTTGAAAAACAAAAATCAATTCCAAGAAGTTATAATTGTCTAAGTCTCTGGACAAAATTTGTCTATCTGTGCACACAGTTCTACAAGTGTGAAAAAAGAAACTCTAATAAGAAATACAAAAACTCACTGTTTAAGAGAAGCCTATTAAAAGAATCAAGGCTACTTGGAGATTTTGTTTTTCTTATACACCCAGCCAGTCCCTAAAATCACTTGAAACTGAAACTGAAAAAACAAGTGGTAAAAGGTTTTTTTTTTTGCTCTGCTAAAGGTTTTTAAAGTTATAGTTATAAACCCAGCCTAAAACAGAATAACCTTTGATCATACAGTTTTTAGATAAATGAGGCTAATTCAGTATTATGTATACAAAAAAAAAAAACAAGTAGAAAAAGATTATATATATATATATAATATATATATTATA